CTCCAGCCTTGTGGCTGCTTCTGAAGGGAAGGAAGGGCTTGCTCTAGCGCCCACTGGCTTCTAACCTGAGCCACTGCAGGCATGTGGCTGCATTTCCAGAATCAAAAGTGAATGTCTGTTCACTTGCAAATTGGTTTAATCTAGCAGGTTAGACTAACCTGCAAAGATTGAATCAATTCAGGCATGGACTTTTTGAATGTCTGTACTTAGCCTAAGGCTGTAACTGTCACAATGTAAACTATAAACTCCACAATGTAAATTGACTGCAAACTCCACAATGCCATAAAATAGTCTAGCTCCTGAATTCCTTCCTATCTCCTGGTAAAGGAGCTTTACCCAAAACATTTTGCTGCCTGTCAGAACAGCTGTAGAGAACAGGGAAATATCAGAGTAGAAAAGGAAGCCATTTGTTTCCAAAAACAAATGTTGTACTCCTTCCCGAACAAAAGGCTGGGCTGAAACTTGTGCAGCAATAACTACATGAAAACAATTATTCCACATTTTGATGGTTACTATATATAGAGTAGTCACCTGTTTAGTAGATAGTACCGCAGCAATTAGAACAATTGCATAACTTATTATGCAAATTATACCTGGGGAAAATCTGCTTGCATTTACCTTGGATTTGCTTGTCAAATGTTTTTAACATTATTGTTTATAGATGAGGAAATATGGGGAAGTTTTTATGCTACATTCAGGAAAGGTTCTGAGCATTCTGAAAAGTGTTTATCACAGGTGTAATCAGACAAGTCAGTGCAGATGGAGATGAAAGAGCAGATTCATGTATCTCTTCCCAACATTTGGAAAGATCAGGTATTTTGAAAGAGCAAAAAGATCAGATTTTGGCAACTCCTATTTTAAATAATTTCTATATGATGGGATATAATGGCTTTTCTACTGTTACTATGTAAATCAGGTGAGTGATTGTCTTCCTGGTGTTAGAAGAGCTCAGGTTCACAAAGTATTCAAGTTTACTATATTGCAAAAGTGTCAGCCAAATTTGGGCCTGCTCAAATTGGGTGTGCTCAATGCTATATAAACATA